AAAAATCTTAAAAAAAAAAAAAAAAAAGGAAATCCCAAAGAGAAATCTAAAAAGTATAATGTGTGTTGTCAATGTAAGGACTTCCAAAACTGTAGAGAATGTTTGTAAAAATTTATTTGGGCAAAAAAGAGGATACATCTGGAACAAGATCTCAACAGACTGAGATAAATGCTTCCAAGAATAATAGTTTCCAGTTTGTTTGTTTTGCATTTGAGATTAAGGAGGGAAGGTAAGGACGATTCCATGGAGATGGGAGGAAGCAATGCAAGGATAGGATTACAGGCGAGTTAAGATTATGTGCTCTCATGATGGTCTGAAAGGGGCCTTATCAAAGGTGTGTGGGCCAGCCCAGTGGTTCAGTTGGTTAAGAGTTGGCTTAAGAGCGCGAGCTCTGAGCAACAGGGCTGCCGGTTCGATTCCCACATGGGCCAGTGACATTGCACCCGAGATGAGCTGTTACTGAGCTGCCAACAGGTGGCAGGATGGCTCAGCTGGTGTAACAACAAGATTGCCTGTTTGATGGTGGGCTATGCCCACCCATAACTAAGACTGAACTGGGCACCTTGAGCTGAGTGGCATGCTGCCCAGATGGCTCAGTGGTGTGCACTTTTAACAACAGGCTGCTGGTTCATCTCCTGCATAGAATGGTGGCTCCACCCACCTGCAACTAAGATTTGAACACAGCACCTTGAGCTAAGAGGTCACGAGCTGCCTACGGGCAGCCAGATGGCGACTGGCACCCTCCACAACGAAGATTGAAGAACAACAACTTGGCTGGTCACCTTCCCCAATTCCCCAACACTGTTTTCCTCCCCCAATCCCCCAACACTGTTCCCCTTCCCCAATTCCCCAATAAAATCTAAAAAAAAAAAAAGTGTATTAACCTAGATGCACAAAAACAATGGACAGGGCTGCTTAAGGCAAAGATAAACTTTTTAGTAAAGAAGCTATATATGCCTGGGGCATGACCACCCACCCAGTTAGGAATTTATAATCAGATCACCGTGTGAGGTTACTTTCCATAAAACCCTTTTTTTTGGTCCACAGTGCCGCAAAGTTCTTACCTAAAATTTAATCCTCGAGGGACCATCAAAATATTAATTTTGGAATCAGATCTTACATCTATTATGAGTAACGATGTTCAAACCTTACTAAATATAGGTAATTCAAATGTAATGAACATCAAAAGGCTATAACACTTGAATCTTGTGAAACATCATAAATAAAAATGTCAGTGATATCTTTTAACGTTAATATATGTTAAAAGAATTTTTATCCAAAATACCTTATTCAGGGGTCGGCAAACATTTGAGACAGAAGAGCTGCCAGGGGGTCAGCAAACTGCGGCTTGTGAGCCGTAGGCTCTGAAGTAAAATTGAAAATGAAAACTATCATAGTTTCATTTATAAAATTTTTAAAGGATATTATTCACATAATGTTGATTATGTAAAAATATATTTATGGCTCTTGAATAATTTTTAAATTGTTGTGAGGGACAGGATTGGCTCTTCCAGGGGTCGGCAAACTTTTGAGACAGAACGTACCCAAAGAGCGGCATGTGGCTTGCCAGCTGCAGTCTGCTGACCCCTGGCTTATGTCATCAAAAAATTCTTACTGGAGGGAAGTCTTCCACATGTAAAGATTTGAAAACATATTTCATGGTGAATTTCCTTAAAGATTTCTTGTGGGCCAACTGAGTAGCCACCCTTCTCCCCGAAAAACTGAAGTTTTCTTTCCTATAGAAATGTTAAGTATAGAAATGTTAAGTCTCCTCCCTAGTTTCTTAGTTTCTTAGCCCCTGGCTTTGATTACTTTTCTAATCAGTTTGTGAATCCTAGGCTAAAGATTGCTCCTAGCCTGAATCCTAGAATTCTCCTACCCTCTGCTTCTTGATTGTCTGTAAATCAGTTTCTGAATCCTAAACAGTAGATTGTTCATAGTAATCTCCTACCCCTGCATTTTTAAAAGCTTGTGACTTCCCAACATTCCTCAAGCCATTCAGGACCTAACTCTTGGACAATTCCCTCCCAGAGACTAAATAGGTTTTAACATTTCCCCAGGTCAGTAAGCCTAATGATTCTTTCTAAACCCATTCTGGGCCCAGACAATTGACGCCATCTAAGTGACCCGTTACACCTGAATGGCCACAGGTTTCATAAGAGCTAACAGATTTATTAATTACAATCTATGTTTCCTCATTCAGGGGCCGGGGATACAGATGATACCCCAGTAAGATTGCCAGTCACAACCGAAGAAGCCAACAAGGTCTTCTAGGCGGATCTCAAGACCCCTTCCTCTCATCTGAGGTCAGCTAGGGGAGAGTTCCGTGAATCCCCCAATAGGCAGAAACAGCTCTACACCCCTGCCTAGCAGGAAACAGATACAGAAGAAAAGACCTCCTGTCTCTAAGCTTCCCATAGAGATTTAATGGGGATCACATCTCTCAAAGGGAAAAGTAGGCAGGCATTTAGAGGCAGGCATTGGGTCTCTGCATTCCTGCACGTCCCACAGAATGCCATGGCCCAGGGGACATCCCCGCTACAACCAAAACTCCCCTTTGTATTGTAATATCTATCCCTGTGGGAGAACAAATGGGCACAAAATACCCAACTAGACAAGACCAGTCACTCGCACCTGCGCAGTACCTCTTGTCAATCACAGGGGCCAATCAAGTGGTCCCATGCCCGGAGGGGAATAGCCCATTCTAGAGAAAAAGGAATAAAAACTCCAAGTCCTGGGCAGTCAGGCACCCCCTCCTTTTTTTTTTTTTTTTTTGAGTCCCAGCCCTTCCGCCTTTTTTGAGCCTTTTGAGCCTTGCCTTTGCTGGTGGCCCACTCCAAACTCTTTGAAATGTAATTTCTCTTCTAGTAATGGGCCCTTGAGCCATTCTCTACTGCTTGAACCCACTTCTATTTCTTTGAAACGTACTATCTCTTCTAATAAACTGCTGTTTTACTACTTTGCCCTGGTATCGCCTTCAATTCTTTGCTTGAGATACCAAGGACCTGGACTTCGCACCGAGAAGGGCCCACTCTCCGACAACAGATTATTGAAGGTATAAAGGAGACCTTTGGAAATTCGATAATATTGCTTTACTTTCTTCAGGGTCCATATAAAAGAAATCCCCATCAAATGCACCTAGAAAATATTGCAAAAGTATTTAGGTGAAAGCAAATTCAATCGTTTCCTTAAGAATTTATATACTATAAAGTGTCAACAGGAGCAACGTCCAAACCTGGAAAGAATATAAAAGTTTATTTGAGCCAAAACTGACTAAAATTGCCCAGCAGCAAGATCTCAAATGCTCCAGAGAATGACAGTTTTGCAATTTCTTTTATGCATTTGAAATTAAGGGTGGAAAGTAAGGAAGATTACAAAAAAGTGGAAGAAAGCAAGGCAGGGATTGCACTACAGGTGAGTTAAGATATTTGCTGTCTGGGGCATGGTTATGTGTTGGGAGCCATCTCAGAGTACTGAGACTTTAGGTTGACTGCAAGTGGAGAGTGGCAGGTGGCTGCAGACCCCCATGTTCTGTGTGCTGAGGAAAAGGCTGCAAAACTTCATGTTAGCTGAACAGCAAAAAGAGGAACTGCTGGAGAAACAGCTTAATTCATCTCCTGTGCCATGGAAAAGCAGAAGTTCCTGAACTGAAACCACCAGACCCTCAGATGTCACTGTCTAATTATGGACTTATGAACTTTGGAACTTTCCACCATGGACTTGCTGACAGTTGCTATTTGCCTCAGTTTCACCTTACTTAAAATATATCATTAGTCTATGCTATGTAATCATGTAACTTGTTGCCAAGAGATTATCTCACTTCCAAACCCCTACGTGAGGAACATTGGTTTCTCATTCCCCAAAAACCCCCTACCAAATCCTCTATGCTTAGCTAAGAAATTATTCCTGGTAAAAGAGGAACTTACTCTCTATATAAGCAGTGCGCCTTTTAATAAATGCGGTCACTCTCTGCCATCAGCAGTTAGTGAACCTCCTAATCCCAACTTTCTTTTCTCAATTCCTTGCGTGGATCAATCCTGCTCAGGGACCATTCGGTAGGTTCCTGGCTTGATCACCCAGGTGCCCCGGCTATTGAGCCAGCTCTGGACAGTTATGTTATACTTTAAAGGTGTGTTAACCTACAATAGATGCATAGTAACAACCTACATTCCTTGCTTAAGGCAAAGAAAACCTCTTATTAAAGTTAAATGCCTGGGGCATGACTACCCACCTTGACCTGCCCAATTAGGAATTTATGATCAAATCACTCAGTGAGGTTACATTCCTCAGAACCCCTCTTTCATTCACACAGGTTTATTATCCACACCTGTAACAGCGTCGTCAAAAGTAGAAAATAAACAAGAGCTAAAATATAAAAGAATGTTTATATGAAAAATGCTCTTTGTACTTACTCTTGGGTAAATGTACACTGATTTTGAAATTATATTTAGAATTTTTTTTTTAAGATTTTATTGGGGAATTGGGGGAGGAGGAGAATGTGGGGACTTGTGGAAGGGGACCAGCCAAGTTGTTGTTCTTCAATCTTCATTGTGGAGGGGCCAGTAGCCATCTGGCTGTCCATCGGCAGCTTGTGGCCTCTAAGCTCAAGGTGCTGTGTTCAATCTTAGTTGCGGGTGGGCATAGCCACCATCCCATGCAGGAGTCAAACCAGCAGCCTTGTTAAGAGCGCACGCCCTATCCACTGAGCCATCTGGGCGGCAGCTCAGCTCAAGGTGCCCAGTTCAGTCTTAGTTGTGGGTGGGCATAGGCCACCATCGA